CCACAGCGCCGAAAGCCCAGGTCCTGCTTCCAGGGCTGGGCACCTTCCCCGGTGTCCCTGTGCCCCCCTTGGGCTCTCCACACTCTGGGTCCCATGCGGGGTGGGTGCTGATGCCGCCTCTGCCCCATCCACCTATTGTGAGCTGGGCCCGCCGCCCACTGGGAGTTGAGCTGGGGGCCAGGTGTGCGGTGCCTCCTGGATGCTGCTGAGGGGCCTGCACCGGCCTGCCCGCCACTCCCCGGTAGCAGAGTGAGCTGGTATCAGATCTCACCTGGAGCAGGAGGCTGGGCAGGCCAAGGGTGGGGTGGTGAGGAGAGAGGGCTGGCTTGGAGACGGGGCCCCCACCACTGGAAAGTGCTGGATGTGAGTCCTGGGCTCTGGGCACCCAGGGGCCAGCAGGCTGTGTGGCCAGAAACCAGAGATCCAGGGGCGCCAGAGAAGAGCCCCCTAACTGGGGAAGCCGCTGAGCCTGTATCCCTGAGGATCACTGGGCCTAGGACTGGAATGGCCCCTCCTCGGGCCCCACCCCCACCCGGCCAGGAGTTCCCGGAATGGGCCCTGGCTGCCCTCCCCTTTGCCCCCTGTGGAGGGGACCACGGCCAGGCATGGGCACGGTGCCCCAAAGCCCAGCCCCGGCGCCCCGTCCGCCCCCAGCACCCAGCATGCGTCCACTCAGGTCACTGGACAAGTGTTTATTGACGGCCCCAAGCAGCCAGGTCCCGTCCTGGGCACTGCACACCCGCGGGCACAGCCTCCCGTCCTAAGACCCCACCCCAGCAGTGCCGTAAGGGAGGAAGGGGGCCATGGCTGTGTCTGTCTCTCACTCCTGCAGGGCCCAGCTGTGGCCGCCGACCTGCATGGTCCAGGGCGCTGCTCACTGCCACCTTCCTGCACCCACTTCTGCTGCCAGGGGAGCCGGGCCCGGCCCAGAGCAGAATTCGGAGCCCGGGGAGCCCCTAGGGAGGGACTGGCTGCAGTCGGTGGCCCAGGAGGACGGCTAGGCTCACACCCACAGGTCTCCCAGCCGCCCCTTCTCCTCTGCCAGCCGCTCGCCCCGCTCCTCCTCAGGGAACTGGCAGCTGCTGGCGTCTTCGGTCGACGGCGGCACCTCCAGCAGTAGCTGGGTCTCTGCAGAGGGGCCACGGTCAGCGGGCAGCCAGGCCCCCACCTCCCCCCACCAGGCTGTGACTGACCTCGGGGCCCCATGGGCTGACTCCTCAGCTGCCAGATGTGCAGTCCAAGCTGGGCCGAGGTTAGGAGGAGGACGCAGGCGGCCACGGCCAGGAGGACGATGGTCAGCCACCCAGGCGGCTCTGCCGGCGGGGACCCTGGGACGCACACAGCATTGTGGGTCTTGTTTCCAGGGAACACGGTGAGAAACCCAAACTGGGTGCAGCTGGAATACACGGACACAGCCCCCAGTCAGTCCCCGGCTGCTGTCCTCGGCGCTGTCTGGGGCTCGCCACAGTGCAAGGGACAGGAGAGGACCCTTCCTTAGAGTGAGCCTGGACCACCCAGCCGCCGGCAGGGCCTACCCAGGACTCACTCTGTCCAAGGTTTGCAGTGGCCGTCGTGGCCCCTGGAGAAGGTCCCCAAGGCACAGTCGACACACCTGAAGCCAAAACTGAATTTCCCTGGTGCGGGGTCGGGGGATTGGGGAGGGAAGGAGGGAGGGAAGCTGCTGGAGTTGCTGGGATGGATGAGGATGGAGTCAGGCCAGTGCAGGGGTCCATCTGGGGTCTGGCTGCTGAGTCGAATGCCCCCCCACATCATCCATTCAACAGAGTTCTTGATGGCCCAGGACTGGGGCCCTGGATGTCAGTGCCCGCGTCTGCCCATCCCAGATGGGGCGTCTGGGGTGGGACCTGGGGAGGGCACCTGGGGGAGGAGCGCAGAGTGCACTGGGCTTGCCCATTGGGGGCTGAGGGCGGGCAGAGGCCAGGCAGGACTCAGTAGAACAGAGGGTCCCAGAAAGAGTGGGGCTGGGTCCCAGCTGACCCCAGACCCTGCCCTGTCCAACCTCACACAACCTCCCCAGTTCTACCTCCTCACAGCCCCCATGTGCCCAGCCTGGCCCCTCCCGTCAGGTAAACAAGCCGCCAAGAGGACTTGAACTGCTTCCAGGAAGAGGTGTAGCCCCAGGGCCCAGACAGGACTCTGGGGGGCACAGGGCAGGCTCGCTCGGTATTCGCTGAGGACAGACAGGATGGGTGTCCCAGGCTTGAGAGCCAGACAGCTCCCCACCCCCCGCAGGGTTCTCACAGTCCTCGTGCTGGATGGAAAAGCCCAGGCCGAGAAAGGGGGGACGGGACACTCCTGGAGTTGCATGGCCCGTGGTGCCCGAGCATGGCCTGGGCTGCCTGGCCTCACAGGACCCAGGACCCCACACACCACACATGCCGGACACCTGCGCCCACGAGCTCTGCCTCGGGCCCTAGTGGACCCCCTGGCCTGTGTGGACGCTCACAGGCACCTCCAGGACTTACCCTGAGGCTGCACCCCCTGGCCTGAGGGGCAAGGGTGGTGCTGGCAGGTCGTGCAGCAAGGGTCTCCGCAGTGGAATTCAGGCTGGACACACACGCAGTCCCACTCGGAACAGCACTCCTCGCCTGGGCAGGAGACAAGCCAGGCCCCCAGCAGCTGGGCTGAGGCCCCTCCTCGGCCTTCCAGGGGAGCGGGGTTGTCCGTTCCCCACCCACAGTCGGCTCCAGGGAGCGGAGGGCTCCTGGCCGGGAGTCCGGACGCTGGGTTTGTCCAGGTGTCTCTCTCTCCTGGGACCGTGTGGCCTGGGGCTGCTCCCCCTTTGTGCCCCACAGCTGCCTCTGCCCAGGCGCTGACTGCACATGCCACCAGGGGCTGCCCCTGCGGGACCCAGGGATGGCCCCCAACAGTGCAAAGCCCCCTGGAGGCCCGTGGACACCTCAGAGGCTGCCTGCCTGGTCTCCAGGCGCCGCTGTCCCCACCAGCCACACTGGGCCTCCGGACAGAGCCTCCCTTTCCAACCCTGGAGGAAGAAGCTCTGAGGTGACTTCCTCTCCGGGCCGGCCGTGTCAGTTGAACCCTTACCCCCAGGTGCAGGTCAGAGGCAGGCAGCAGGCCGGACGGCGGTGCAGGGGGAGCTGGGCGATGGCCGAGGGTTCAGGACCCACCCAGCAGGACCTGGAACAGCCCTCCTCCACCCTGGGACCCCAGACCCCCCCTTGAGGGCGCTCCCACCTGGCTCGCCCCTGCTCCTCGCCGCGGGGACCACTGGCTGGAGCTGGCACGCCTCCACCTCTCTCTGGGATCCTGCCTCCCTCCGGAAGGCTCTGGCCGCTGGAGACCCTGTGCCCACCCTCCTTAGACCTCAGCGGCGCCGGTGTGAGCACGGGAAGGGGGCGCCCGCCCATCCCGGCTCCCGCGCCGCGCCTTGGCCGGTCCGCGTTAAGTAAACACGGTTTACTTACCCTGGCAATCGCGGTAGCAGCGCGTGGGGTGAACGCGACAGCAGCGTGCGTCCCTTCCCGTCCCGAGCAGGAGGCGCCCAGGGCCGCACCCGGGACCCCCGGTGGGGCGCTGACCCAGGCTGGCCGCGCACAGCAGCGCCAGGCAGCAGAGGGTCCCGCACGCACACATCGCCCCGTGCCGCGCCACGCTCGGGTTTCAGGAGGCCACGGCAAGTTGGACTCGCCCCGTCCCCGTCCCCACCGCCCTGCCCGGAGGTGACTGGGACTGTTCCTGACCCGAGAGTTCCGCCCAGCGAGATGCGTGTGAGGAGGGGGTGTGGACGCTGCAGACACAGCCCGGTCGCGGCAAGTCTCCGGCAGGGGCGGGGAAACCGGGGCTGGCGGGATCAAAATGGTTTTCTGTGCAAAGTCTGCGGCCACGGCGGGCCCCGGTGCGGGGAGCGGGGGGCGGCGTTCCGCAGCTTGTCCGTGGGGGCTACCGGGAGAGTGGGACTCAGCCACACCCTCTCCATCCCGCCGCCTCTGGGTGGTGTCTGTGAGACCCCGAGAGGTCTCCACAAACCCTGGCCACCCCCAGAGAGCCTCAGCCATGGAGCCCAGCGCTGGGGAACCCCACAGAATGGGGACGGGGCCCCTCAGCTTAGCGCGCCCCACCTGGCCGGCTCTGGGTGTGAAAGTCACCATGGGCTGCAGGCCTGTGGGCTCCCTCCCCTCCCCCTTGCTTACAGCTCCCCAGGACCCCCCTCAGCTGCCAACCCAGGAAGCTCCCCAGGGCTTGGGAGGGGGCATCAGGAGGAGCTGGTGGGGAGACGAGAGGGTGCGTGGTGCCTCCTCGGGTCAGTGTCAGCCGCCCCCAAGGGTACCCAAGGCCCAGGGCAGAGCAACCTGCTGGGTCTGCCGTGTCTCAGGAAGGTTCCCATTCAGATCTCTCTGGAGCCATCTTCATCCATCGCACCAGACAGATACGGGTCCTGCAGGGCGTTGAGGGGGAGCCCCTCGCAGAGCTCTTGGGAGGCCGTCCTATGTCTCTCTGAGCCTGAGTTTCCCCTGTGGGCACTGCAGGGTTCTGGGACCCTGCCTCCACCAGGAAGCCTCCCTGGATTGCCCAGCCCTGCTTCGGTGCCGTCCAGCACAGTGGAGACCCCAGGAATGCTGGAGGCGGGGGCTCGGGAACTTGAGCGCGGCTGTGCCCACGGCTGGATGTGGTTAGACACCTCTTTGAGACCTGCAGCCACCACCTCACCCCATAAGGCAGTTCCTCCTTTCCCAGGGTGAATGACGGGAATTAGCTGTTTGTGACACCCCGGAGTTCTCAGATCCAAGATGGAGGAGCCTGCCTTGGAGAGGCCGTCTTCAGACGCTGCAGAAAAGGAAGGGGTCTCTGCGGCTCCAGGCTGCCCGGACACTCAGACGGAGCGGGTGGGGCCAGCTGGGCCTGGGGGCCTTTGAGGGGCCTGGAGATCTTCATTCCGCCCCTAGCCTAGGAGGGGCTCTGGGCCCCTGGATAGAAAGAGGTGCCGTCAGACCTGGGCGCCAGGCGAAGGTGCTTAGGGAGGAGACCCCGGGCAGGCTGGGCTGCGCCCCTGCCCGTTTCAAAACCCCGGGAGGTCTGCACCAGCTTGGGCTCACCCCCAATCCTGGCGAGTGCCAGTAGATGGCAGCCCGAGAAGACACAATGCGTCCCCTGTAAATAACGCTCATCAATCCCAAAAAATTAAATAAATGTTCATCACCCACAAGGTGCGAGTCCTGCTTCCAGAGGCAGGACAGAGTTAGGAGGGCGAGCAGTTTATGGGCCAAGTGGGAGGCGGCCAGCGGGCAGAGGACCCCCCGCCCCGTGGCGCAGCCCGAGCAGCTCCCCACACGGTGGTCCCCGGAGGGGCTGCCAGGGCTGTGGTGTCCGCCTCCCGTCCCTCTCGCTGTAGAAGGCCCTCGCTGGCTCCCCATGACTTCTGTCCTTGGGCTGCGAGGCTGGAGGTGATTTTGTCCATCTTATTTTCTGGTATTTTGTGAGCACCTCGCCAATGACACAGACGACGGGGCATTCACGCAGGAGAGCAGCCCACAGGGTGGCCGGGCGAGGGCGGCTGCTGGGCGAGGGGCATCCAGAAGGGCAACTGTGGGGCCCCAGGGGGAGGGTGCAGATGGGCACCGGGCCAGAGCTCAGGCAGAGCCTGGGGCACAGATGGCGCAGGAGTTGCCAACAGAGATGGTGTCAGGTGAGGGGGTGGCGGGAGGGTGAGCACAGAGACCAAGAGGAGGTGGCCTCTTGTCCATCTGGGGGGTGCAGCAGGGGGTCCTGGCTGGGGAATAAGTCCCACAGGGCCTGGGGGGTGCTGTGCCCAGAGGAGAGGAAACAGGAAGCGATGGGTGTGGGTGCCAGGTTTGGGGAAGAGGCCCCTTTCCCACAGCCTTCGACCTGCGAGCCCCATGGGATCTGGCCGGCCGCTCCAGTCCTGGCCACCGGACCCCTTCCCCCACCCACCCGCCG